TTAATTCTCTATATATATATATATATATATAATTAAATATAATATAAATAATGATTAAACATTTTTATATTCATTATTACATATTCATTATATGATTATATTCATTATATACAGTAGTACACTGTTCATGTTAATAAAAATACAACTGTTCATTGTTTTAGTGTATTAAATGTTGAAAAGAACAGATTAATATGCATTAGAAGTATTTTTATCATTGTTAGTTCATGTTAACTAAGGTAGATAAAGCTTATTGTAAAGTTCTTTTTGTCAGGTTGTGTGTGTGAAGTGATTGTACCCTTCTTTGCAATCATTCATTGAGAGAGCAGACGGGCAAAGCTCAGATGGAATCAGCGCTGATGATTTATTTTGTAAATGATGTATAATGCCAACGCCAGTCATAATTCCAATTTACACCTGAACAGGAGCTTCACATATTCAGCACAAACCTAAAATGGCTTGACATGGAAAATCCATACTGCAAAGCAGACGATATTTACACTTACGAGGTCAATATGAAAAACAATTTTAAAAACCAAACGCTGTGTGAATGAGATCCCGGCGGTCCTCATGAAGTCAACATTAAGAAGCTGAAAGCAGTTATTACAGCAGAAACACAAGCATCCAGACAGTGAAGCATGCTGAAGCGCTGTACGAGATGCTCAGATAGAAAGGTCCCGCTCAGAACTTCTGTGAGAGCGTCTGTTTCTCCAGCAGCAGGTCTGCGAATCTCTGCTGCAGCTCTTTTTCTCTGTCCTGCTGTCTCTGGACGTCCTCTCTCAAGGCCTGGACAGAAACCACAAAGTGTTGATGTATAATAGTATAAACTTGTAATGTTGTAAATCATATTGTTTTGTTTGTTTTTTGGTTTGTAGGAGGAAAAAAATAAAACAATATTAACAGTAACAAACCATACATATATAACGCGTACTTGCAAATAAACTAAAAATATATTTTTTAAATTTATTTGAAAATGTATTTATTTATTTGGGATGTAACGATATCAAAATCTCATGATACGATGATATCGCAATATAAAGTCCACCATACGATATTTATTGCGATATTTAAAAACACAAATGAAGAATTGGGGGAAAAAAACAATTTTGTACATTTTAAAGTTAAATTATTTATCTAACACACTTTGAGAGTTTGAAATGAAGAGCTCCAACTCACGTTCTTAATTAAGAAAACGTACGTTTTAAAAAAGTCAGTGAGTTTTTATTTGTGATATACCGTCTCAGTCTAAATTACATTCACTGGTGTTTTAGGAAGCCAAACTAATTAGAATAATAATATTAATAACAACAATGACAGCAGAAACCATAAAACAATTGCACTGTAAAATAAATATTTCATATGTATATTATTTTTGTTTGACACTACAGTAGGGAAATTACAATACTTAATTCCTAATTTATATATATATATATATATTAGTGCTGTCAAACGATTAATCGCGATTAATCAATCCAAAATAAAAGTTTTTGTTTACATAATATATGTACACTTAAATTTATATCATAAATATATAAATATATATTTATATAATTTTATATTATGTATAAATATATTTAATACATAAAAATATTTTTTTTCTTAAATATATACATGCATGTGTGTATTTATATATAATACACACATATATTATGTAAACAAAAACTTTTATTTTGGATGCGATTAATCGTTTGACAGCACTAATATAAATATATGCACCCAAACATCTAATAGAGTTAAAGCTGTTCACCTCCTGTCTGCGTGGAATGGCGTGGTCTTCCTGTTTCTTCAGCTCCTGGAAGGTGTGGAGCTCCACGTTGGCCTGTTCCACTTGATCCCAGAGTTCACTGAGCTGTTTGAGCAGACCCATGGCCCGCGACTGATAGCCACCCAGCAGAATCTTCATCTTCTTCTCCATCTTCGCCGCACGCTTGGCCTCTGTGGTCATGTGACCTCTGTTGATCTGTCATCAACACATGAAGTGAGAGGAAGAGTTACACATTTTAACAATGAATTTGCATGTGGTTTATTCAATCATAATTCAGTCTGAACTACCTGTTGCTTTTTAGTTTTTGTTTTGAACTTGTGTTTTTAAATGAAACCTTGTTTTTAAATGAAAGCCAGACTTAATTTGTCCAAACAAAAAAAGAAAATAATTGAAGACGTAAAAGACCATTTTAATGAATATACAAAAAAATTCATAAAATAACAAAAATGAGGTACCCACCAAAACCATACAAGCAAAAATAAATTAAAATAAATGTAGAATAATTTTAAAATAATAATAAAATGTAAAATTAAGTCTACAATATAAACAAAAATAAAATATGAAATGCACAGCAAAATAAAAGTAACAATTATATAAAAGAAAAACAGAAAAAAAATATAACTACGTATAAAAAAAATTACATTTCCTAGCCAAAAAAATAAAGGATAAAAAAATAATACATGAAATAATAAAAAAAATGACTGAAACACAACATTTAATCTCTGCTCAATTTAAACATTTAATTACAGCTCTTGTTCTTGTCATGTTGCGATGGGAGGTCTGAGAAATACCAGGATTCAGTTTCGCCTTCAGACACTGGCACCACCAAATATCGAAACCATCGCAAACGTAAACTATTTTCAGACGTTCAATTTTGCAATCATGTGTGACATGCAAAAAAGCAGCGAATTCTACAAAGTTATGAGATGGAAACAACAACAATAAACCTCCAATGTCAACACAGGCCTCAGAAACACCCGCCACGTCTTTGGCCTTTAACAAACCATTATGCAATTATAATGGATCTGTTTTCATTCGAGCGCCTGGCGTTTTCCAGTAAGCGTCCCGCTGCCAGCTGAAAGTCCTGACTGGGCACTTCTCTGGGTAAAACATCCCAGACGAGCCGAGACAATGAGAGATCAGCGAGAGCAGGACGTCCAGACAACAGCAGCCAACGCATGACTGTCAGCCAGTTAGCCAGCCAATGCAGATCAGCTTCAAATACACAGCAGCTGATTACCTGAAGGTATGAATTCATTAAAAAAATCCATCACTGAATTAAAAAAAAAAAAATTACATTTCCTTTTAATAAAATATCTTGTATATAAAATGTAAAAAACAAATATATATATATATATACAGTGCCATGAAAAGATTTTTGCCCCCTTCGTGTTTTTTTAATTTTGTTTATATTTGTCACACTTAAAAGATTCAGATCATCAAACCAATTTTA